TAATGAATCAAGATAGCTTTTGTTCTCTCTGAAAAGCAGTGTCACCCTTCCTCCCCTTCCTGCACTCAATTGGCTCTCTCCAAGTCTCTTGCTTCCATCAAGCTCGTATCTCAAAGCTCTGCTGATTTTACGAGCTGGGCAGTTCCAGCAGTACTTTGTGTGACATACGACAATGCCAACCACAGCCTCACCCTTTCTCTCTCTACCTCTGCATATACGGATTGCTTCCAATTTCAGAACAGCCCGATGGTGAGATTGACCAATATCCTTCAAATGGCCCGCCACCTCAACCAACAAACTTCGGGTTTGATTGAACCGAATGCCTAAGATCAGCACGAGAAATGAGGAGGCAATGGATCTCACCCACACTCCGTAGTTAGGCTGTCGCAGCTAAGCAGCAGGAGACAGATATAAATATGGCCCCCTGCATCCCATGGAGATACCCCAAAAATAATTTCTCAACTCACTTTTCAATAAGAGAACATCACAATCTTCGCTCAGAGCCATCTTATCTTAGCCATCAGCTTCCTTAAGCAAAATGAAGTACACTATTTTCCTTGCCTTGGCTGCTCTAGTCATCTCTGTGAGTGCCAGGTGTGATGGATCCCCGGACCCTACCTGGAGGCATTCCGGCAGTTGCCCGGGCGCCGGTGCCGGTTCGGAAGAATGTAATCAGAGATGCCAGAACGAGGGCTTTGGTTGTGGCGGTTGCGGAGGCTTTGCGTACAGAGATTGCTGGTGTTGCAGCAATGATTGTGACAGCAAGTATGGCTTCTTACTTCTAGACACAGCACAGCTGGTCTGAAACATTATTGAGCCTCAGCTTCTAACTTGTCAAAGGCCTTGAATAGCGGAAGACCAATTTATGACCAGTTTATGACCGTGCGTCCGATCGTTTGGCCTCCTGAACTGGTGATCTCTTGTGGACATGGATGTCAGTGGGCAGGAATGAAGCGGAGGGGCTTAGTTGAGATTGGGCATCTAGAGTGGTGGCCGTCTCAGTGCATTCTTTGCGCCAGATGTGTACCAAGCAGTTAATTAGTACTTAGTCTTTCGAAATATATCGTCCTATGGGCTGCATGTTTGAAATATCTATCCCACATTTGAAGACTTAAAGAGGCTCAGCCTGGCAGGGGCTGCGCTTCACAACCTAAATTGCTACGCACGTGACTAAGGTTCACGTGAGTCCCCGTTTTAGGTAGGTTTCGAAGGGAAGCTTAGTGGAGCCGCCGGCCTTAATTTCGCGTAACTTGACGTCCAGGAACGTCGACATCAACAATCGACATAACGCATCATACCGGTTCTGCGCACCGGCATTGGGTGCTTGTCAGTCTATATATGATGTGAAATGGTTATTGAGTGTATACAACCGCCAACCCCTTTATATTTTACTCTCATTCACACGCTTTCGGCCAAAACCACTACCTCTTCCCATTGCGTACTTATCAACTTATCAACTACTTGTTGTGATGTAGATTTATAGTGGCCTTCCTCTGGACTAAATAGACCTGACTCACTTCATAGCTCCTTGGCTTTTTCAGAAGTCACGCTCTTGTTATGGATGAAAAAGTTGGGCTTTGGGCTTGAACCTTAGCCGTCTCTTCAGACTCCTTTCCTCTTGGCCAGTGCTAATCGGACCATATTTAAGCGCAGGATACTCAAAAGTACACCCCTACAAAATACCCAAGGTACTATGAGATTCATATGACGGAGTATACTTAACTATGGCTATCATAGTCTTTGTAATAAAGGTTCAAACCGATAGGATTACATCTGTCTAGCCCTCGGTTTTATTGTTACGCTTCAACATTCTGTGACCATCTCATCCGAGCCTTTTTCTTGATGCTGTCAGATACCCTCTCAGCTCACCACCTGTTGATAACTTGAATACCTGATTCCAAAACTCTCTATCGAGATATTTTATAGCCTCTCGACATTACCATTAGGACCTTTAGTATGTTACTTCCCATACATCACTTTAGCAACAAATCCATTTTCCAGCCTTAGGAATGTCATCTAACCATTCTTCTCGCCCAAGGCACATTGTTTGGGTTGATTTGGAACAGCTACATAGATGATTTATACTAACAAATGCTTCTAGAACCACCGATGTCTTAGTCTATTCCTCGGAGGCCACAGTTCCATACATAAGGAACTGAATAAGAGGTGACGCGGCTAGTCGTTAAGTAGCACGGTAAGACTTCCACTTGTGCCATGACTGCATACTCTTAATTTATTCTCATTGGTACTCCGTACCGTTATGTTCCATTTTTGACTGAATAACAGAAATGCCCTAAAAAAAGAAAAGTGATAACTCCCGGGTCCGGTTTCTCCCCATTCAGCCAAGGTAATTACTAGTCGGTGTTAGTATTGCAGCCATGCAAGTGAATCTTTCTTCAACCATTTTTATTCGTCTCTCGGTGTTTTTGTGTTACCTTACCGTGTCACCTTGGACGTTCGAAGGACTTGGTACAAATGTCCTTCCATACGCCTCCTTCTTAGGGGTTACAACTTGAGTTGAAATCCATTACGTCAACTTTCAAGTACTCAAGGCATCATTACCAAATTGGAAGTTATTATACCTTTGTGTGGAGTCTCGATGTCGTTGATGGTGTATTTTCTTTTAGTATAATTGCTTTTGTCTGAATTTTGAGTGATACGAGATATTGCCATTTTGCCCAAAGCTGACATTAGCAACCCTGGTCTAAATATGTGATAGGCCTGATCTCAATTTCTGGACCTGCCCTTCAAGATGGTTGTTTTCTTCCTGAGATTCAACTTCACTTTGAATTTTAATGGCCTGAAACTCGCAACCCCTCTTCATTCCATTTCGGAATCTGCGGATACCAGCAAAGATGTCGAAGATGCTGTCCAAACCATGGCTTCTGGAGGCGCGGTCATCAGAGGCTTTTATCATTCTTGTTGTCTCCATTGCTATCTTCGTGGTAAGTAATACCAGCTCTGATTGGGAATTAGGGTGCACCGTTCGAGGATTACTTTCTAACAGCGTCATAGGATATATTTCTTTACAGCATGGTATGAAACAATGATGGAACTCGTTACCCTGCAGAGTGCTTCTTCAAATGTTTACAATTCGCTCTAGATTGTACCTATTATCCCGAAAGCCCTTGTTGATCGTATTGGAGTATCGCCTGATGATGGTTCGTACAGAGCAACTCCAATTGTTTCGATGAATGAAGGACCCGTTAACATATTAGTATAGCTCAAAGCTGGATGTCAGTCCTACTAGCGACTTATGGTGGAACTCTCCTACTAGGATCCCGTACGTCTATATCGTGTCTCATTCTCTTCGGATCCGACCGTTAACAAAACAATAACCGTAGCAATATTTGGGTATATTGCGGATAGGACTAGATCACCAAAAGGGCCATTCATCGCCGGCCTACTCGCTCTCGCGCTCTCGACGGCACTTTTTATGCTGGCTAGGTCCCCTGCTTTATTTGTGATTGCCCGGGGTCTCCAGGGATTCTCCGGTGCTGCAGTCTGGGTTGCTGGCCTGGCACTTGTCGTTGATACCGTGGATGATAGCAGGGTTGCAGAAGCCATGGGATACACTACCATGGGCCTGAGCCTGGGGTCTCTATTAGGCCCAGCTGCTGGTGGAGTGTTGTACGACAAACTTGGATTCTATGGAGCATTCTACGTGCCGATTGGATTGATAATTTTGGACGTTATTTTGCGGGTCATCTTGATTGAGCCCAGTGGTATGATCTTTTCCCCTATCCTTTCATTTCACTACTCTCGGACACGGAGGCTGATAAGAGCGTCTCTCAGCTACCAAACAGTGGAAAGTTATGGAAAGTGATGAACACTCGCCGTTGCTGCAACCCCCGACACCCAATACCAACGACTCAAATAAACCCAATTCAACGTTTCAAATATTCCATTTGCTGGGCCAAAGGCGTCTCCTTGTGGCTTTATTAGGTGGTCTAGTTGGTGCCCTTACATTCTCTGCATTTGAAACAGTAAGGCGAACTTCTCTCCTCTCATAAGAAATAAGACAGCTTCCTGACCTTTCCTAGACACTTCCTCTCTTCCTAATCGAGTCGTTCCACTGGTCTTCCAGCAGTATAGGACTGGTCTTTTTCATTATGGCGATTCCCGGCATGGCTGGTGCCCTAGTTGGAAAGTTAGTTGACAGATGTGGACCGCGAGTCTCTGCCACGGTGTCTTTTACCATTGCAGGTGTAACCTTAATCCCGCTCCGCTTCGTTCATCACCCTGTCCTAGCAGAATATTCTCTGCTGATCGGTCTTCTGGCAACAAACGGCTTAGCAATCTGCGCGGCTTCCCTTGCCGCAATGTCAGAAGTGTTTGAAGTTGTTTACTCCCCTGAGAGCAGTGGTGCATCGAACAATGCGAACCCTGTGGCCCAGGGATATGCTCTGTATAATATGGCATTTGCTGGCGGACAGCTTGTTGGTCCGATTTTAGGAGGGTTTCTCAAGGACCGCCTTGGATGGAATACCATGACACTGGTTATTGCTTTGGTATCGGGTGCTACGGCTGTTGCCAGCGCCCTATATGCAGGAGAACAGGCCCCATATGACGAACTTATCGGCCCGGAGGAGGTGACGGATGCATAGAATGGCTCGCATTATAGGTATGGGCTGGCTTGTTTCTATATACCATCAAAGACCGTCAGTTAGAAAGGTACTTGTAAGATACGTGTCTAGTGATTTATACCTTCATATTATAAATGCTTATTTCTTCTCAGTAGCTAACTAGCTAGTTACCCACCGTATAGATAAAATGATAAATATCTCCGTTCACCTACAAAGCTTTGAACCCATGTTGAAGGTTCTTGTCCACGGATACCATGTTATGTGACATAGACTCAATGTACAGCGAGCGACTAGTGTAGACGGTCTCGCCACTTGTGATTGGATACGTGGGACACCATATCTCTTCATATCAATTATCTTGTGGATACGAACAAGAAAAGCCCGGGGTGGCCCGTGCCGAGAGAGAGCCATCAATTAACCATTTATAGTCCGCCCAATAGGTGTCTTGGGATACACATCGCGCGCAGGATACAGGTCTGCAAGTGATGGACAGTCTCTCGGGTCTGGGTAGAAGACTGCTCCCAGCTCCTTCATCATCTTGACCTTCTCTTCCATCGTAATACGCATCCTAAGCTTCTCAAACTCAATACCAATCCCGGATACATTCTCTAAAGCCCAAACACCACCACCCTCCACCACATCTTTGCTAATGTTATACTCGAGGTATCTTGCGCTTAGATATTCATCTATTCCTGGCCATGCAAAAATACACTTAATCCCGTTATCATGTTCTGTGGTCATTCCATCTACGGAGCCGTTAAACAGAGCATGGCAACTGAACCAATGCCTTCCCCCTAATTTCCGGAGCAGAGCACAGGCCCGGTCTTCTGCCTCTTGACTCGGTAAGCGTTCCTTTGGCAGGGCGAATCCATCAGATCCAAGGAATCTCAGGTCGACAATGTCTACCCTTGTCTTTGCTATGATGGAACCTTTTATTGCTTCGCGGTTGGGTCCTTTAGACGGATTGCTGTAGATAACATAGCCATTTCGCGAGTAGCTAGATGTGCGCGCATCTAGTCAAGGAATGGCAGGGATTATCATACTCTAGGGGGTTTGGTGGTGGTCTGTAGGATACATAGTTAAGTACCTATGTACTCCGTAATCAGACACTGGGAGGAACATTCTGAATTACTCGCATATGGTGTCCATTGCGTCCGCAAGCTAACCAATCGATGGAGGCACCGCCGCCATCTTCGCACCAATTGGTGGGTGGCACTCGGCACTCTATAGTCGAATAGTTATAATGCAGGTTCTGAGCTTCCTGGTCGCCATCATTTATCCATTCCACCCTATACTCGGCGCCTTTGCCTTGTTATTTTTCAGATTTGGGCTCGGCGTGATGGGGGAAAAAAAAAGGGTCGGGCCGGGCCCCGGGATATCACATGACGAGGCTCAAGTGGTTCGGAGCTAACTAGTTAGAGTCTAGCTTATCACGTGATTACTAGCCCGGACCTTTTATCTTTTTTTTTTTTTTTTTCTAGCTCTTGAGACGCTAACCTTTATGCTCCGTATAATAATATACAGCCCAGGAAGTACAGAGTAAGTAGGTATATTATTGCCATGGATGACTCCTACATTGCCTTGAACGGGCACACACAGCAGGTGGCGTTGGCTCGCATGACATGGGACATAGGGACCTTCATGTTTCTTGTTTAATATCTGTGGTACTAGGGGGTGACAGCAGCTGAAAGCCCTACAGATCTCTGTATGGAGGACATTTCGCAGGCTAATCAGGGGTTCTCAGACTCGTTGATACATCGACGTTAACCAAGATATTATGATTTGCAGGAACCGTGATCCCTATTAGCGATTTGATTTCCCACGATCCTGCATGCATGTTGTTATAAACACCGTGCTCTGGTTGGTTGCCCATTGCCTCCACCAAGATTTCTCCGGCCAGTTATGCAGCCTGAGTCCCGTCTTGAGAGAGATACCTAAGTATAGCGTATCAACTCCACTTGGCTGCAATGCAATGACCATTCTTTGAACCGTCTCCTCCACTGCTGCGCTTTCAATTCAGGGAGAAGGCGGCAAGTCACAAGCACGAGATCCGGACTATTCTATGGCCTAACCCAGACTCTCACAAGTTGGCTCTCTAGTGGTCATTGAGCGGTGTACCCTCAGATTTCTCGTCATTCCCTGCCCTAGACCGTTTGCCCCAGAAGCACGTTCACTGCTGAACAGCGCTGCGACGTTCGGGGCGATCCAGGCCCTCTGCTTGGTATCTTGGCTCGTACATATACACCTCCCGTTGCGGTTGCGACAAGTTGACTTTGAATTTTCTCACTGCATTAGTGTTAATTAATTGCAGGATATAGGAGCTATAACACGTAGCATGTGTTGCGGGCCACGAGTATGCGCTTGCTCTTTTGGCTCAGCTGTTTTCACAGTAATGACAGCTGTTGCAGCGAGTTTGGCTGGCTCTAATGAACTTCGTGGCAATGCGCCATGCGCGACGTATTAGGTTTGCATCCTGCATGTCGATCGATGGTGCCTTGCTGTTGTTGGCAAATATCGTCGATCTGGGCCGTCTCGATGGCTAGCGGGCCCGCGACAATTCCATCAGCTCCCTCCCACTGAGCCAGCCACCTCCGATAGTAGAAAACTTTGCCAGCCAGAACTTCCAATAAATCATCTTTTTGGTAAAAGGCGGTCTCAGGTTACTGCGCACATCCCAAGCTAGCATACTCAAAAGCAATGATCACTCTGTATAGCTTGCGTCCGAGCTTTGGGCTTCAGCCAATGTTTGTATTAGTTCTAGCAAACTACTCATGGAGTACTCCATACTCGTTGTCCCATCTTCACCAGTTCAAAGAAATTCCCTAATCTGAGATCCTTAACCTCAGAATTGAATCTTCTGTCGATCTTACCGTTTGCCTTGTGTTGGCTGGCTATTTAACTGCCCTCAATCCTCCCCTCTGTCGACTGACCTCTTTGCAAGAACCATCAAAAACCTCCTTGTTCGTTACTCTGCTCTAGCCCTCACTCAGCATCTTTTCGGTAAGAATTCCCAACAGCATTTTGTTGTTACAAGTTCAAATGTCTCTGACAGCAACTAGATACAACCACCATTGCCCTACACGAGGTTCTTGTCACTGCCCAACAATGCGCTTCTCTCAAGTGATAACTGCCGCCCTGCTGGTAGCCTGCGCATCGGCTCAACAGCTCAACAAGGGCGAGACGTGTACCTCCAATCGCAATTGCGAAGCGCGTTGCGGTGGGGGCGAGTTCAGCATATCCTCCGGCAAGTTTGTCTGCTCTAATGACAACGCAAATAATGAGAAAGTGTTCTCCTGTCTGGGTTGTACGAATCTTCCAGAGTCCAATGCGGACAGAATTTCGGAAATATGTACAGAGGTGACAAGCGAGGGGGACAAGGATATATACTGCATCATTGAAAATGAAGGCTTTGCCAGTCATTGTGAATATTACAATGGAGAGCTGAAGAAGGTCAAAGAGCTTTCCACTTATGACGAAGCAGTGGATGCTTGCAAGAAGGCATCGGGAAAATAAATTTAGTTAGACGAACATTACGGAATCAATCTTGTTTTCTATCTAGCTAGTTAGCTCTAGCCATCACTTTTCTAGCAAGGAGAATTTGGCAAACTCCCCATCTCCCTCTAATTTTTGAGGTATCAACCAACGGCCCCCTAATTGCATATCAAGTCAACATCAACATATACATCCAGCCATTCTTGCATCCTGTCTTGCTGTTGCTCCGATAAACAACGACGCGGGGGAAGTTAAAGGTATAAATTACGTCGACCTGCTGGCCACCTGGGATTTTGACAGTTGCCTAGCATTGCATGGGTTTACCTGCGCTCCAAGGGGGCGCCAGGGCACCCGATCCCTGTGGCATGGTAGTTAACTAACTAGTAACTAATAAGAGTTATCTTCCTTGTTGTCTTTTATTAATATCCCATGCTATTGCTTTCCATAAGTTTGGCTTATTTTTGCGCAATATAATATGCATCCGGATTCTTAGTCCATCGGCACATGGCCGACTCCGGCAGGATCCGCCATGGTGTCGCCAGCCAGGGAGAAGCTGGATGCGACACGCTGGCCGATGCGGTAACCAGACAATCCACCAGTCGCAGTATGAGTATTCGAGCGAATGAGGGAACAGGCTCTGGCGGGCGACAGCGACGATGCGCGCGCCTATCTCAGGGTCAGAGGCCGACGCGTCCTCGAAAAGACGGCGGGCGCTGGACGTAGAGCCTGGCCATGCCATCTTCACGGGGGACGCTGAGGATAGTTCCATGCGGCGTCAGGACGGTGCAGTGCTTGCGAAGACTATTTTGAGGATCAGTGTCCATCCATCTTGATTTATTATTATCAAGAGGTGCAACCTGCCCTGGGGAAATCAGTGATGAAGACGGCATCGATGACGCCCCAAACTGCGTCGGTCGAGGTGCCTTCCATGGGTATACCCAGTTGATGGCGCACCCAGCTATGCGCGCCATCGCTTCCAACCACACATTTGGCTTGGATGGTCGTTGTCTTCCTGGCCTCGCTGCTGACTCTTGGGATTGTGTCATTGTTGTTCTCAGCGATGACATGCTGGATATTGCCCGTTTCTTCCTTGATGGTGTCGTCCGGCTGAATGCTGTGCGCGTTTGTCCGCCATTCGACCAGGTCTTCACAACGCTGATGATGTCGCAGCTGGACCATTACCGGGAATGCGTCAGGTTCATCGAGGAGCGTCTCATTGGACCGGACAACATGTTGAAGTAGATATACCCAGGAGACGATGCATGTTCGGGTTCCGGGAGCTTCCCCAGGCTCCTCCAGGCTCGGCTTTCGGGCGACGAACAACCATGCACTAGTTATGTGGCAGTTTAATCAATCACGTTAACTAATCTTTAGTCACAATAAGTCAACTTATTGTAACTGGGATGTAGTTAACTAGGATGTTGTCGACCCAGCGTGAGACTCGGATTTAACTAGCTTAAGCCCGCCTTAACTGCCAACAAACATAGTTAAAGAGCGCTCTCGCAGCCTGGCCAAACGGTTGCAAATTGCAATAGTTAGTGTATCCCGACTCACAGCTGGACCAAGTTTTTATCTACTAGACATTTATTCGCATGGTACAATGGCCATCCTTCTCACCGGCGGAACAGGCAAGACTTCTATTCGCCTGGCTCGCTTCCTCCAAAATGCAAATATACCATTCCTCCTTGCCTCCCGTCGTGGCTCGTCCGCAGCCCCAGTAGGCATGCCAGCCGTTAAATTCGACTGGCTCGACAAGGAAACATGGAAAGCACCCTTCGGCGGTAAACCCATCTCCGCTATCTATCTTATGGAGCCGCTGGTTGCAGAGCCCTGGAAGCCTATGATCGAGTTTATCGAATATACGCGCAACGTGCATGGCGTTACTCGCTTTGTCCTATTAGCAGGTACCTCTACCGACTTATCACGGCCCGGTATGGGGGTAGTCTGGAAGCATTTTCTCGAGACTGGTGTCGACCATTGTGTGCTTCGGCCTAGTTGGTTCATGGGTAAGTTAGTTGATGAGATCACACAACCATAACTATATTTTGATGTCCCCGCTAATTAAGCCTATAACTAACTAGAGAACCTAACTGATGAGGCTCCCGGCCCTCTTATCCGCGAGTATAGCAAGATCTACACAGCCTGTGGTGATGGGAAGATCCCCTTCGTGAGTGCTATTGATATTGCGGCCGTCGCGTTCCGAGCTCTCACAGATCCTAAATCGCATAACTGCGACTACCGTATATTAGGACCAGAGCTCCTTACCTACGATGAGGTGGCTGAGAAGCTGTCAGCTCATCTAGGCCGACGTATCGAGCATGTCAAGCTATCGGGAGATGAGCGTTATAAGGGTTTGACAGACGCAGGTGTCTCGGACTACTTTGCTCGGTTTTTAACAAACTTGGAGGTAGCAGCAGCTGATGGGTTTGAAACTCACATGAATAACACAGTGGAGGAGGTAAGGGCCGGGCACCCAGGAGCCTGGACCACTTTGCTTATGAAAATATACATTCGTGGCAGTAGATATAACTAACCACTAGTTATTATGTATATAGAGCGATCCTAATATCACTATGACAGGCTTATTGGTGAGAGTATACTCTCGAGGTGTACCATTCATTGAAGGACTTGATTTACTAAAGATTTATATGGAAATCCACTATATACAGCAAGATACGTCACATTCTAACCATCTAATCTTTGAATACTTTCTGGAAACGTATCAATTTATCAAGCCACGGTATAGCTGACTCTGGACGTGCCCTTGCTCCGAGAAATCTTCTTTACAGTCGTTTGTCCGCAGAGATCCGTCGAATCGACATGAGTACCACCACAAGGATACACCTCCGCCCCTACAATGTTGACTACCCTGGACTTTTCACCTGGAGGCACCAATGTAGGATCCGGTATCAGTCTCTCCAACCCTCTAGAGCGGAAATCATCTTCATCCCACCACTCTATCTCGACCGGCATGGCCGCAGCAATAAATTCATTGACCTTATCCTGGATAGATGGCTTCCATTTTCCCTCAATAAGACCCCGGAACTCACAAGCTGCCGAGTCAGGGAAGTGCGATGCCTTCAGCTCTTCGAATCCCTCCACCTCCTTTTCCACAAGATGCTTAACTGCAGCACCCAAGACATGGCCGGCAGTGTGCAGCCGTGAGTAGAGAAGACGTTTTTCCACATCAATTTCCTGCTGCACCATCTCACCAGGTGCAAAGGTGGATGGACCGAAACGTCCAAAGTGCAGGACCTGGCCGTCTTGAAGGGCGTCCATCCGAACCGAGGTAACGGTAAAAGAAGAGCCAGAAGGGGAAGTGATCATGCCTATGTCAGAAGGCTGGCCGCCGCCTTGAGGGTGGAAGATAGTTTTTTCCGTAACTACCACATGGTCCTCTTCGCTGCCTTGCTTGAAGAGCTGACGGTTGGCTTCCTCGAGTGCCGCGAAAGGGCGCATGGCAGTCACGAGAGTCTGAAGGGTATACAGCTTTGCATGGTGCTGAAAAGCGAGAAGTGTGCGGGCCATTTCTATGACGAAGGTAGAAAGGATGGGTTACTTTTCTCTGGCTGTATTATTTGATGTTGGGAGTCATAAAGATTCGCCCAAGTAGATGGACGGAGTAGTTAGTTAAATTTAATTGGCCATGCTAAAATAGTTAAACTCACAAGGAAGTTTAATGAATGAAATATTAACTAGTTAGCAGATGCGAGATTCTAATTGGATATAAAAGTTCATTCTATAAATGGAAACACCAATGATATTGCCTTTAAAATATTCGGACCTTTAAGATCCAACCAATAAAAAACGTATGATACGTCTCCTGTCAAGGATATATCCCCGTTTATTGGCTTTATATATAGGATTCAACTGGCGGAATGTTTTGTTCAGGGAGACACACATTGCTCTGATAATCTGTCGATCTAGGCATTCCGCTAAAGTCGAATTCCATAATCTCAACTTTACCTGCTAATCCAAATACGGCCAGGTTGTCTCTAACAATGAGACGACTAGGTCTATACGCATGAGGAACCCAGAGGACATTGCATCCATCATACATAATCCAGCTATTTGTGACAAACAGTGAGTGTATGTCAGAATTAGCCAAGGTCGCATCATTGGAAGTGGGTATTTGCAGTGGTCCACAGTTGGTGAAAAAAATATCGTCCCGGACGCTGCTTGGGAGCAATTGCCAAATATTGCAGTCTGGAAGCTCACAAAGTGTTGTGCTTGTTATTACTTCTTGAAGGTATTGTTTCTGTCGAGGGCCTGACACCATAAGCAACTTTTCCCCGTCTATCGAAAAAGCGAGGGCCTGGCATATATCCATTGTTTTATATTCCCGGAGCATCTCACCAGTATCCGTGCTCCATACTTTGACTGTGCGCGAACTCCCAGTGGCTATAAGCCTACTGTCTGGTGAGAAAGTAAGGGCCTCTACCTTCGCGTGGCGGCCGTTGAGTTCTAGAAGGAGTTTTCCAGTGTTGAAATCATATATGTGATATTCCTCATGCATCAATTCAGGTGGGTACGTATCCAATGCCACCAGTACCATTCCCTCGTTTGGTGAAATAGCCATATTTAAAACAAGTCTGTGAGATTTGTCAATCATTGGAAGTTCCTCGAGTGAAGTAGTATCCAAAGTTACCAACCAGCCATAGGCATCCGCTGATACTAGCCGCTTATCGCTTGGCCAAAAGAGAATATTCTTGCCAATGGAGTAGTTTAACTTCGATTGCTGCAACGGAACACCACTTGGCACATCCCATATTACGACCGGAGCCCCTGTAGCATCTAATCCGCAGCCACCTGATGCGGCTAGCTTGCCGTCCGGCGAAAGCACAAGAGCAAAGATATTACCACCATAGGCGCTCGCTATCTTTTCTTCCGGTGCTGGCGCGCTCCAAAGCCGCTTTATTGAATCTTTGGCCTTATTTAGAATTGGTATAAAATGTGCTGGTGTTGGGGTTGGCATATCCCATATCCTAATGAGGTTATCGGGTGATCCTGATGCCATCACCGTACCGTCAGGGGAAAAAGAAACCGAATTGCTGTTCTTGAACAACTCTACCAGTTCCCCCGAGGCCAAATCCCAAAGACGCAAGTAACATGCCCAGTTATAGGTAGCCAGTAGTTTGCCATCTGGAGAGAATACCATGTGATCAACATCCATGTGCCTAAGCTCTGTATCTGGTGTCGACGATCCTTTTAGATATATAGTCAGACCAGTTGGTTTCCCCGTGGCTGCAACCCTAAATGATATTTGTGTTGCTCCTAGGATCTCTGGCTCGGCCTGTGCTAACGCCAACTTTCCATCTAGGGAAAACGCCACGTTGGTGCAAGCATCAATGGTGTAGAGAACCGAACGCTTCTTAAGGTCCAGAATCCGCGTTTTCCCTGCAATTATGAGGGCTATCAACTTACTATCGGGCGAAAATGTGTATGTATAGCACCCTTTCAACTGATACACAACAGAACCATCTTCTGCATTCCAAATGCAGGTCATGCTCCATGTTTCAGGGTGGCCTCCCATGATGGAAGCCCCTATCAACTTATTATTGGAGGAGAAGGCGAGATGGCGCGGCGTACCAAAATTATTAGGGCAGTGGCATCTTTCAAGCGTCTTCAACATAGTCCCACTCTCTACATCCCAGATCTGGACTAACATTTGTGCTGCCCAGACAATTACTAGCTTGCCATCAGGTGAAAACGAAACCGAATGAATGGCAGAATTCCCATGGCCTGTGGTTTCAAGCACCCTGGTCACCGTGCCGGTTACTGCGTCAGAAATTTCAACGGTGTTCGAAAAATTGACTGAAACCACCAGTTTTTCACTTGGTGCGAAGTCTGCATCCTTGAGGTGTTCAATCGTATTGAGCAGTGCACCTGTGGTTGTGTCCCAAACGCGGAATGATTTCACCTCTGTTGCGGGCCCTGAGATTGAGGTTATAAGCGTGCCGTCCTTAGAAAATGCCGGGGATATGAAGTGGCGGGCCTGGGATGGTTTACCAGCAAGATTTCCTAATGTTTGGCGAAGTAATGTCCACTTTGGTTGTACTTTTGGGTATCTCACAATCCAGTTGGGCAAATCTTTGGCAAAGTGTTTGCGGAGTAAGCTCTGTTCTGGTGCGAAAACTAGGGCAGAGCAATATACTTGAAGAGGAGCCTGTTCAATGATTGCACGGTTGTAGCGAATAAGCCGTTTTGCATCTTCGACAAAAGCATAAAGCTGAGGGCTTACATTGGCCTTCGCAATAACATTAGTAGTTGGCGAGTAATAATACCATATGTCAAGAAACTGGAACTTACGTTTATCATACTACTCAATAATTGAATGGTGCGCATCCCTTCAGAGCTTTCTCCAAGCAAGCTCAAGGCTTCAAGCCAATGAAGCAGATGGTCTAGCAAGAAGATGTGGACTGGACCGTTGTCACGGAGACCAACATCCTGGCGTTGGAGAGAGTCTAGTTCCTTGAGGTGATATATCCAGTATCGACTTGCGTAAGCAGTGTGAATAGAAAGATATTCCTCTATTCTAGTTCGAGATATTTGATTGATTTCGATACCAGGGTGGCGCAGGCTACAAATATCTCGTCTGAGTCCGTATTGTGAATTGCTGGATAACAGCCGGATGCAGGAGGTGAATAAATCCCGGTGCATCTGCTCATTAATCCAGATCCCGCGGTTTTCTTCCCGCTTTCTCAGGAGAAATTCGCGAAAGGACTGGTGAGAGATATGCACCGGCTCCTTAGGTGATTCGGGTATCACCAGAATCGAATGGAGAGAATCGAGCCTGGAGCATACAACTTCAAGCTCCAGCCTTTTCGGGCACAACTCACACAAGCTTGTTTCTGGAATTGGTTCAAATAGAGCCACAATAGTTCCAAGAATCATCCGAAACTGTTCTACCATTACTTCCTTTTCCGGACCAGTCACTGCCTGGGTTAGGATGTGGTCGTACATATTATCGAGAGAGTCAAAGGCTTGGTTTTGAAAGATCCGGGTAAGGCGATCGTTCATTGATGTGGCGCCTGGCTCTTTGATATACCGACAAGTTATCGCAGCATAAATGAAGAGACCATTTGCTCTCTCAGTTAGTCTTGATATAGATTCCTCACTAGGCCAGTGGGCTTCGACCCCACGTTTCTCTGTATGTAGATTTCCGAGCTCTCCACGAAACATCTGGGAAATATCTAAATCAACAGTAGACTTATCAAGTTTGTCTAGTTCAATATGATAGACGTTTTGAGACGAATCTTTGAAAGCGGCTTGGATATGGCTCTCAGGTCTGCTGGTTATGAGAAAGCGTAGTCGGATATTTTTCAGCGCTGCAGCGTTAACGAACAGGTTGATGATACCCATGACTTGTCGTTTGCTGAGGCCTTCGCATTCATCCAATGCATCAATAACCATAATGAGAGGGCTATGTCTCGGATTCAACAGAGAAAGTGGATTGCATATAAGCTTTTCCCACTGAATTCCCATTGCTAATTGTTCCACTTCAGTGTTATGCCTCTTCTCTGTTGAAATTGC